CAGTGATCGCATCTTCGTCTTATGAACTGCCACCTGGAACTCCCCTGACCGCTTTTTTTCGCAACTTCATCAGACCCATCTCAATTGTCTATACTGCCAAGGACATTCAGTCACAGTGTGGGTTTACTCAACCATATGCCTCCAGCATGAACATATGTGGTAAAACACCGCTGACCAATCACCATCTCCACAAATCTTCCCACTAACCCTTACACCGCACATGAATCCCTCCCACAGCATTCAAGACAGGCACGCAATAGGCAGCTCTCGCGTATGTCGCAAGCATGTCACTTCTCCATGCAGCCCATATAGTACTCTAGCGCACACCCCGCCCCCTCCAGTCACCGAGTCAATTTGTGTAAATATCTGGCGTACTGCGGGGGATAGGTCCTGGGTGCTACATGCAGACGGTTGTTTTCGCTCTGTCGGCCACAACACCCAATGTACCCATCAAATGTCTGACAGTTTTCAGAAGATGCCACGATCATCTAGAGCAAAACCATGTTTGAAGCATACTGGTACTGTACTAGCCCTGAGACTGGATGGTAGCAGGACGCTCCGCCGAAGGAGTGGAGCATGTCTAAGAAACATGGGTGGCAAAATGAAATGGAAATGAACATGGCTTCTACAGCGTCTGATGTACATTTGGAGTTAAACTTGTGCTTGTTTCGTAATGCTTGCGCGTGGTTACGGTGGACAGCGGAGGACAAGGAGGAGTGGGAGTCGATGGGGTTGGGTGTAAACTGGGTACCTGCCGACCAGTGTTCAGGACAGCAACTTCGGGACCTTCCACACTCGTGATTTGTTCGCGTTTGTCGCGTTGGATTCAGAAAGCACTCGACACTCAGAAGACAACGTACCATGGAGCGTTGTGGGATGGTTTCAATTTGCGGCACAGTTGACCACATATAATAATGAGCATAAATGCCGTCGAGAACTCTTATCGAGAGAAGTCTCGGAAACGATTTTCGGCGTTAAGACACAGACGGGAGTCTGCATAAATTGGCAGAGGTGTTGGAGGAAATTAGTGGAATTCTCGTTGAAATTAGGGGGGAGGTCGGATAAAGCATGCCGAAGAGGTAGGAGGCTGGTGCCGAACACCAGTCCGGTGGTTGAGCAATCAAGACCCAACTGGAGGACGGAACAGATGCTCAACAGGACTAATGGAGCGTGGTATGTACAGTTCTGTGGGTTCCCAGAGGCTCATAATTTGGCCCTAAGTAATGATGAAATGGTTCGGCCAGCTCTTTTACAGCCAGGCGATAGATTCTGACATGGAGTCCGTAGCAGGCAAAAACATTAAGAAGGGTGTGGAGGAGACCAGACTGAGACTGGGCTCCTCGATCTGTCGTAAGGACTGAATTTGGACCTGTCAGAAGTTAGAGGACCAGTGAGGGAGTAATGTCTTGACCACAGTCAGTACCTCCACATCGGATGTCATCCCACCGGTGGGGGGAGTGCGTGAAGACATGGCAGTGGTGCTGGCCGCTGCGGTCGATGCTGGGTTTGGGGCAGGACGGATGGTGGCGGGGGGGGGGAGGGAGGGGGATGGGGGCATTGACCGTGTGATTGACGGTCGGCGCGGGGTTTGAGGCAGGGTAGCTTTAATGTCACATTGTTTCCGAAGGTGTCCAACGAGACCGATTAGTGCGCGGAATGTGCGTTGGCAGCCCGGACATATAGGAAGTAGCTGATGGTCTGCACTGAGTAGGCTAGACACTTGTGATCTGCGAGCTTCTCGTTGGGCTTTGGCGGGGGAATCTGATTTACTTGCTAGATTGCAGCGCTGGTCCTAAATTCACTCCTCTAGGTCGATCTGTTCTGGGCGAAGTGCTCTCAGGTCTCTGGACTGATGTGCGATCGCTTAAGAGAATCTTTTAATGTGTCCTTATGGCCTCGTTTGGTCCTCCTGCTCGGCGAGCACCGGTGGCTACATCAACATAGAAGAGTTGTTTCGGTAGTCCTGCGTCTTCCATCCTCACGAGATGGCCGCTCCGACGTAGCTGTAGTTGCGTCAACATGGCATGAATACTAAGAATGTCAGTCCGTTCTGGGATTTTCATTTCGGTGATCCCGTCCTGCCATCTCAGATTTGATGTTCAACAAAGGCAGCCAATATGAAAATGGTTGAGCTTCTTGCCATGACTGAAATAGACGGTCCAGTTACTGTGAAGGTCAGTACTTGCGTCATATCTACTGCTTACCCCAACAAAAAGTTTGAGGCAAACGAGGACGTACAGAAAGGCCAGTTGGTTGTTTTCTTCCTTCTCCATCGTAAATTGAACGTCCGGGAAGACGGCGCTGAGACATTCTTTGAATGCCAACACCTGATCCCGTTTGATGAGGACGAAGGTATCATCCACATACCGAGCCGATGTGGCGTCGGAAGACCTGCAACTCCAACCGTTGTGAGACCGACTCGGCTATGAGTCCCAAAATCAGTGAACCCATTGGCTTGCTCTTCACCTGCTCTCAGTATCGTCGAACATAAAGTACGTCTTGAGACAGAACTTCAGAAGATGGATGATTTGGACTTGTACGGAGCAATTCGCCTTTTCATTGTATTTGTCTCCTAGGAGTAGTTCAATGGTCTTGATTGTCAGGTCCTGTGGAATAGAAGCGAAACGGGACGTGACATCAAAGTATATCATTACGTCGCTTGGCAGAAGACTTACCCCTTTGAGTTTCTGCAAGAATTGTGTTGATGATCTGACTAAAGTGTTCCGATCGGTGGTCAGAAACTTGAGACTTCAACACAGCCACTTTGTGATTCCGTATGTTGGAGTGCCTTTTAGTGATACTATTGGCCGGAGAGAAGCGTTCTCTCTGTGCACGTTTGGGAGAACGTAGAATCGGGTCAGGGTCGTTTCTTGCGTTCTCGTCATGCGTCGGTCGATCGGTGATTTTGCACCTGATTACTCCATTGCCAACATCGTTGCGCTGATCTCATGTGTCAGAGTTTTTATGGGGTTGGATTCTCCCGGGGAAATAGGACTGACGAATCTCCAAAAATCTTTTAGCCCTCTGAATGTAGTCTGGCCTGTTCAATACGAGCGTAGAACGCCCCTTGACCGCAGGCGCGTTATCAAGGTTGTTGTCTGCCCTGAGTTCCTTAAGTGCATCGCATTCCTTCCAAAAAAACCGGTGGGGCTGGTGGATTCCAGCCCCAATGTCTTTATCCATTTTCCTACCAAGTATAAAAAGATGTTCCTCGAAGGATTTTCTCCCAATTGGCACATTACTTTCTGGTGAAATAAAAAAGCCCTTCGTTGAAAACTGGAGAATACGCCAGAAAGAACATAGGGGAGGCTGGGAGACCAGCTGGTGAGGTGAGCCCCACACAGCTGCATCACTTAGTGTAACAAATTTGGCGAAATAGGCGTCCGAGCTTTTAACTGGTATCCTTGCTGGCAAACGTGAAAATGTCAAATAGTACTGATGATTCAGAAAACGATGCTTAAAACTAAAAAGTAAGAGTCCTCATCGCTGTGGGCAGTGAGTCCGCCACTGTCTCACGTGGTAAACATGGCTGATACTGCCGCACAAATGTGTTAACGAGGAAGCAGACTCGCGCCGGATCTACCTCACCCCCTCCTCCCACACTCGCCGTTTTCTAGTGACAAGGCCGATGCAATGCAGCCAGAGGTGGACGTGGACGCTATGACCGACAAAGCCAACCAGCCCGCCTGCGGTCGACACACACAGTATCAAGCCCACAACTTCGTGCGTACTAGACATCATCCAGGATGGACTTGGATCACAAGCATTTGGGACTGCCACAACGGCCACATTAGGATAGAAGTCTGCCATAGAGGCTGGGACGAATAACGAAGACACGTTCCTCGATTTCCCACACAGACAAGAGGATGGGCCTATCCAACTTCAGCGAGAGGCGTGCCTTGTTGAACTATTGAACTGGTTCGTCAATCTCTGTGCGATGTATTCTCAAGTGACTTGCGAGGTGAATGTAGGATCTCAATGAGGACAGGTTGGGATCGAGGCCACATCTCTGGAGGTGGGCGTGTTGATGGTGATAGTAGTAGATGCCAGGATATCGGTTGCCGTCCCATCGTTGGGAGAAATGAGAGAGGTCAAGGTGTCGGTGGAGCTGGTCGATACAGGGGTTGGGGCAGGGCGGATGATGCCGGAGATCGATGGCGGCGGGGCATCACCGGTGACGGGAGTGGTCGTCATCGTCGACGCGGCGTTTGCGGCAGGGGTGATGGTAGGACTGTTCGTGTGAGGAGAAGTTGGCGTTGCTGGGTTGTTGATGTATTGTTTCCGGAGGCGTCCTACGAGGCCGACTCATGCGCGGAATGTGCGTTGACAGTGTGGGTATGTTGGAAGAAGCTAGCTGTTGGCATTGAAGAGTCGGAACACTTGTGACTTGCCAGTCTCCCTTTTGGCTTTGGTAACGGTGTTTCGGTTTGCTTCTTAAATGGTTGCACCAGTCTTCTCTTATCTAGGCCGGTGTGTTCTGGGCCAGGTCCTCCCAGGTCTCTGAATTTATTTACAATCGTCAGAGAGAGTTCTTCAATGTGTCCTTGTAGCGTCATTTTTGTCCTCCCGGTCGGCGAGCATTCGTGGCGACATCTCTGTAGAAGTTTTGTTTTGGTAGGTAAGGGTCGTCGATTCTCACCTGATGGCCGCTCCATCGCAGCCGCAGTTGCCTCAGCATGACGTGAATGCTGAGGATACCAGTCTGTTCTAGGACTTCCGTGTCGGGGAACCTGCCTTTCAATCTCAGGTTCAGTATTCTGCAAGGGCAACTGAGATGGAAGTGGTTGAGTTTCATGGCATGGTTGGAATAGACTAAGTCTTCGTCCCCTAGAGAAGTGTCGTCAGGATGACAGCCCCTCACATCTTCAGTTTGGTATTCTGTTGGAGGCCATGACGATTCCACATGGAGTTCCGAAGTCGACAGAAGGCTTGCCTGGCTTTGTAGATCCGATTGTCGGGCAGACGTTGGCGCGACCGGCGGTAAGGAAGTCCATTCTCCGTTAGACGTCCACTTCCGTCTTGGTATTGAGCGCGCAGTCGTCGACGAAGAGCAGATCGTGGACCTTAGTCGTAGATAGCCGCGCTCGGCCCTGCATGCGCTTGCTGCTGAGAAGATGCCCGTCAATTCTGTAGGCGATGCGTATCCCGGGGCACTCATCGCAGTAGTTGTCCATCAGAATGGCATAGAACATGAGACTGAAGAGGGTTGGCACGTTGACGCAGCCCTGCTTCAATCCATTGGTCGCTGCGGATGCCTTGGAGGTTGCCCCGTTGTGCGTGATGAGCGCCACCATTTCATCTTGAAGTTGGCGTACAGTGTGCGTGAATCATTCAGAGCAGCCGAATTTCTGTATGGTTTTCCACAGTCTTTCGCGACTCATCGTATTAAAGGCATTTGTCAAGTCCGCGAATTTGATGCAGAGGTGTGTTCGCGCCTCCTGGCGCATTCCTTGCAGCTGGCGAGAGGCAATCACCATGGCAGTGGTGTTCTAGTGTTGTCGAAAGCCACACTGGCTTCCCGGCAGGAGTCCTTGCTGGAGGTGCCTGTCAAAGCGACTGAGGAAGATGCGATCGAAGATCTTCTCAGCGATTTTGTGTAGTAAGATGTCTCTGGGGTTGTCGCAGACTTCCTGACTGTCTTTGCGCTGCTGGAGGTGAACAATAGTTGCGTGCTTGAAATCATGAGGAACTTGTCTACGTCGCCACATTTCCTGAAATAGCGCGGTGAATTAATCCATCAGTCGGTGGCTGTCGTGCTTGTAGATTTTGGCTTGGATTGAGTCGGAACCTGATGCATTTCCGATGGACAGTTGTTTCAGAGTGCGGATGGTTTCTGGAAGGGAATGCAGGAGGTCCAGGTCGAGATTGATTTGCTGTCGATGGGACGTCAGCGATTGTGGATGGACAGTTGAGGACGCTTCTGAAGTGCTCAGCCCAGCGCTTCAGTATCTGCGACTTATCCATCGAAAACATTGATTCATTGGAGTTGAGAAGTGGCGCAGTTCTCTTTGCTGGGAAGATGTAGATCGCATTGATTGCAGCAAAGGAATTCTTTGAGTCATGGCGGTCGCCGTATGCCTGCATCTCTTCGGCATTGCGAACCATCCAAGAGTCCTGCATTACTTGCAATCGTTGCTGCGTTAGGCGACGACATCGGTAGAAGGCCGCTTTATTCGCATCGATTGGACGGTGGAGGTAGGCTCCGTGCAGCCTGTTCTTCTTGACCAGCAGGATACTGATGGCGACGTTATCTTCGTCAAATCAGCCTTGCTGCTGACGATGTGCGTGGTCAAGGACAACAAGGACAGTCAAGTGAACGGGGTCCCGCAGTCGACATCATCGTGACTCCACTGGGATGTTTTCATCTGCTGCTGGCAGGTGTGTCCTTTTCATGCGTTTTTGGTAGACGATATAGTCTGGGGATATGTGTGCAGATATGCGGGTTCATATGGCATAATAGTTTCCTTCCGCAAATGAAGATACGATCCTATCAAATGTTTGTTCTCCCCGTCCTCGAATATTGCAACCTTACAGGGGAGCAAGCCATGTAAACCCAATGATACAGGATTATTATTTATCGAGCCCTTGCTATGAAATCGTAATTTTCGTGTGTCTGAACGGTGATGGTCATTTTTGAAAAGGCAGTCGCCAGGTGACTGTGAGTTAACACACGGTCACTGTGGAATATGTCCGTCCACCCGTCGGCTAATACAACACACATTTCTCGGACACAATGCATTTGAACCTGCCGCTGACAGCCTTTTTGATACGCTGAGGAAATCCCAGGGACAACCCGTAGAAATTGGACTAAATCAGCAATCGAGATAGCGTCGCAGTCGGTCCACCATTGATCCACATGCAAAGACAGCACTACATCATGCACCTTCTTCTTCCCTTTCCTAAACTCGACTTGATGAGGTGATTTAGACAGTCTGAAACCACTCGCTGTATAGATACCGCATGCGCGTTGGCAACGCTCTCAAACTCGATGCCGAGGGCTTCACATTAGTCTCTGTCTTACTTTCGTGGACCTGACAACGCCGTCGACACCGTGGTCTACGATGCAGTCTGGAGTGTCATGCTGAAATTCGGATGGCCAGAGCAATCCTGTCACATGGGACGACAGCTTCACGGTGAGACGATAGTGCGCGTCATAGTCAATGAGACTGTCTCACATGCATCCGCCCAAAATAGTGGGGCGGAGAAGGGCTGTGAAGTCAATCCCCTATTCTTCAGCCTCTTGTTCTTTGCCATGCTGATGGGCACATATTATCAGGGCACCCAGACATCCATGTCTCGAAGAAAGAGTATACTTCGATCTTCAAAAGTTTATAATTTTGAAATTTTTTTAATACCGTGAAATGCCTGTTCATAAAACATTGTCTCTGCACGTACCAATGTGACTTGTAAGGTTTAAAAGATGGTTAAAATCCACCGCTAAATTTTGTAAAACCCTACATAGTCTCCTTTTACCTTTTTTATCATCCCCCGAGGAAGACGAAGAAGAGAAAGCGATTTCGTGGACCAGATTGTATTCGAGCTAACGTTTCGGAAACTCTCTCGTTTCCATCATCGGAGCCGCTAGCTGGCGTCTCCTACTGGTCTTGATTTGTTCAGCCTTGTCGCCTGCCTCGTATTATAACCGTGCCCAGTACATGTACGTTGGCTAGCCTGTTTTCTGTTGGCTGACTGTGGTCTCTCTGATCCCAGTCTTCTTTTAATATCGTAGAGAAATTTCTGGTTTTCTGCACGCGGAAGATATACGGCCTGCACTTTGGAAATCCTAAATGCAAGCGTAACGGCAGGTCGGGTTTAAAATTATTCAGGAATTGAAAAAGCTTTTGAAATCCGAATTATACCCTTTCTTCAAGTATAAAAGTGGAAGAAGGCATAATTTTCTACCAAATAAGTAAAAGAATGAATATTTTTATGCATGTTTTCCATGTAATACCATTAAATTTTTAAGGACGTCGAGAATCAATGAGAAAAATGCATGTTACATAAGTATTCATTTTTTACAGAGTGCGGTTTTTGTATGTGGCCTGAGAGAAGTTCGTTCGGAAGCCGTCATCCTGAGGTAACTGAATTATTCTCGAGTTATGCTTCACGATAATTACGTTTAAAACCCTACTTAAGTAATCTTTTTAAAACGAAAAGGCATTTCAGACTTTCGGCCAACATTTCCTGACTTTGTACACCTAGTGTATGTGCTTTTTGCCTCCGGCCACAGACGTTTGTCGTTAGTATGTCTGACTGAGCTGAGTATAAATACATTAGTCCGCAAGACCTGTTCGTCCAATCGTCCCTTCCTCTTTTATTCCCCCAACCCGCTCACTGCACACGCGGTCGCTTCGCGAAGTGATATGTGGTGCTCCCTTCTAATGAATGTCTCTACCCTTTCTTAAACTCCTGTTCTCTGAAGAACCAGTCGGACCCGATGTTGGTCTAACCCGGACTGAATACATGAATCTACTTAGAATGACATGCGAGCGCATCGGAGTGTAATTCTAGGACCCACTGTGGGATCAGCACAGCCGAAAGGCGACCGACTATGACCAACACAAGGATGATTGAATGCCCGTCCTCCAGGTCTAATCCGCTGCCAACGCCCCGCTGGCCAAATGCTCGAATTAAGCAATATCCCCTTCCCGCCCAACCCCACCCCAAGGTCGTTCAAGCCTATTGCTGCATCACAGCAGGATAAGCACGTCCACTGGTGAATAATACCGTTTCTATCGCTTTTCTCCTTTCTATCTGACAGTCTGGCGTAGACCACAGGACGCGAATGGAATGCGGACTCAGTGCTCTTCAAGCAAATGCGCAAAACATTTGTGGTCGAATGCTCTTCCTCAGCTAAACCTGTGCCTTCTCTCGGTGCTATTACGCCGACTTTCCGTGTGTCGCCTCACCAGGCAGAGTAAATTGTGCCTGTTGTTTTTTGTGTGCTGGTTGCTTTAAGCGTGTTATTATGGGCGTTTAACCGACGTTCCACTGGCACTGCTGTTTATTACATAAACTCCATCGAATTCATACAAACTGGTCCCAGGCATTATGGTGCATGCGAAGTTGTTCTTATATGAGCCGGACGGTAGGAATTGTGAAGTGTCGTAACTGGTGCTCAGTGGTCTAATCGAATGCAGAAGAATCCACTTTTTTACGCAAAATACACTTATGGGATATACTTTGAGCAAGCAGTCGAATATTTTTAAGTGGAACCGACCTTTCTGCACGCACAGATGGCATCAATTTTTGTGAGCCGATAATCGTGGTTTGGACATGTTTGCATAGGTGCCCATCGCGCTCCCGAAAGCCATGCCTCATTTTACGCAATTACGGTGAGGGAAGATGAAAAAGGAGTTCTCGTTTCAACAGCACTGCGTTAATCTTGACCCGTGAAAATTTCAGACGTTAAAATCTGCCATTTTTTCGCCCCAGAATCACGTGTAGCTTTCAATATGGACAGCACCTCGCTGCAAAAGAAAGTTGTTAATGTGATTGCGAGATTCTATGCCACATCACCGCAAAATCACATCAGTAGATTGTTGTCATGAGTTAAGCACCACCTGCAGATGAGGAATCAAGTTGGTCCCAGTAAAAGACCTGGTGTAGTGCATGACATCCGAAAGAGCTCTTGAAAATACAGAAGCCAGGCAGCACAGATGTCTACAACCTACAGTAGATGACCTGTCTTATTACATGGCGGTCAAAATTCCGAAATTTTTATTTGATTGGAAAAGATCCCTAAGGTAGACTTCCAATATTAATGATCGTGCGGCCTGATCCTAAGATAATTCAATCATGCCACGTAATTCAGCAATCCGGAAACAGCATAATCAACGAGTTGATCGAAGCTGGAGACACTGGTGACAACGCTGTACACTTTACAAATTTAACTGATGATGCTGCACAAGGTGGATCCGCTCAGTCATTTCAAGTCTCAGAACACTTCTGCTTTATTAACAGAGTGTCCGTTCGCTTCGCCTCCACTCTCACCTTGCGCCTCGCTATAGCCATCTGAATGAGCCCATGAAACCACACCCGAAAGCACTCATGATCGGATCACTGCAGTGACATAAGACATAACAGGCAAGCGATAGGTAGGCGACCATACCAATTTCGCTGATGGAACGCAACAGCCGACTGACCAGATTCCTCCGTTTAAGTCTGTCCCTACTCCTGCCTCTTCTTAATGCAAATGCCTATTATACAGTCAATTCAGATAATTGTGGTGAATTTTTCATTTTGGGAAAAGACATTTTGCTGCTGTAATTGAGCAGAGTTTGGTGAAATAAAA